AAAAAGGGAAAGAATGTCTAAAGAAGAATTCTATAACTATGTTTCTAAAAGCAAGCACTTAAAACTCAGGAAATTAGTTAGTTAAATCTAAGACAAACCCAAACTGATTTGTATATGCAAATGTCCAGCTCAGCACCCAAACATTCTTGACTTTGCATAAAGCAAAGGCACCCAAGCAATCTGCACAAAGGCACTGGTGGTCACAGGCCTTCTCACAGAGGAGCCCTAGCGCCCTGCTGCTAGGGAGCTGAAACAAAAGCTCAGGGGGAGCCTTTAAAGCACAGAAACTGCATTCCTTCCTACCACAAAGCCGCTTCCCCAATCCTTTGCATAACCTCGGTCTCCCTAACACCTCCTCCCACCCTTCCTTCTCCTCCACCACCTCCTGCTAAACCTTATCTACTCTACCACATCCTCATTCTACGCCTGCCCATAGAGTGCTCTGTTCATTCTCACGTACTCCTTGGGCTCCCCAAGAGTAAAAAGTACCCCTGTGGGGCACCAGAAGCATAAGAAAGGGAATGTGTGGCTGTATGCTGTGGAGCCAATGGAAAGAAACACAGAATTGAAAGGAAGTTGCCCTGAGAGACACCATCTAACTGGCCCTGCTTTGAGTAGGGAGTTGAAAGTCAAGGTGCCCTCCAACCTAAATTATTTTGCAACTGTGAGGTGAGGGGTTTTAAGGTAAAAGCAGATACAGCTGAATTAAGAGAGAAAATGAGGAAGGGCATCTGCAGTGCACTGCTGTTTTCATGTTCCTTGGAAGCAATTCATGTTCCCCAGCTCATGGAACAGAATTGTGATGAGACCCGTGTTACACATAGGCGCTCTCATACCACAGGTACGACTGAATGAACTGAACTGCAACATGCAAATTTGCTGGAGAAGAAAGGTGCAGCTTAGTGTAGTTGTGTCACCATGGCCTCCTGGAGCAGCTTTGTTTGCTTGTATTATCGGATGAGATTAGCAGCTTCATTAAAGTTACTTTATTTACTGCAAGAGTTTCCCTTTCAGCATTTTAGCTCTATGGATATGTGAAATTGTGTAAAACTGTTTTGAGCATTGCTTAGAAAAGGAAAGGTGAGGGAACAAGATAACCCACCAAATAAATGAGAAATAAATGCAATTTCTTGGAAAGTGTAGAATGTGCCCATAGACTAACTGCTGTAGTTTGTGTCATATCACAGTCTTTTTTACCATACATTTGCTATGTAATCCATACATTTTGATTTCTTAAGAGCAGGATCTCCAGGAATATACTCTTCCAGGCCTTGCCAGAGAAAAAGATAAATTTATTTTATTGTCATGAGTGATGAAGTTTCTTCTGTGAATGTGCAAGGTGCAGCTATATAGTAAGCAAAATTAGGGGAATAGATTAAATAAACTGAATTGTGTCATGTGATAAATATACTTGTTATGAAGTTGCAACTGTTAAGAGGAATTAAGCTTGATGATTGTGATTTTTGCTGTTCAGAGATTTTAACGAAGGAAAAAAATCCCTGTGGATGGAGATGTCAAAAAGAAAGGAAAAAATATGAGACACTGAGGCAGAAATTTTGCTGAGAAAAAAAAAAAAAAACTAGCAAAGTACAGAGCATAAGCCCTCCTGTAGTAGACAGTGGGAACATATATTTAGTACAGGACTGTGGCAGTGTATGGATGTGGAATTGAGACCATGGAGATAAAATTTAGTCAAGGAGGAGACAAAACCAATAGTAGAATATGCATATATGTGTATTTGAGGGTGTTTTCTGGACGTTATAAATACAGATTTAACTGTAGTTCTCGCTGATGCACATAAATAGCCGCTCAGAATTGAATGAACCTAAAACTGTCTTGCGCTGGCTATAACTAATAAGAATATGTTATCTCAGTGTATTATTATAAGCAGGTGATTGCTCAGTACAGCAAGTGCAATTCTGCTACCTTCCACACTTCTGACAGCTGATTGGTGGGAGTCTAAAATGCTGTAGGATTTTCAGTATTTTGGCTTTAGTTTTGTGACAGTGTTCTGAATATCATCTTTCCTCAGGGATTGATGAACTAGTCAGCAGACAAGAAAGCAGGCTGATTTCTTTAAAGCAGGTTGAAAAGCTCATATATATGTTGAATGAATAGCTGTAGTTTGAGTGGTTGCTTTGAGAGAGGGATTGATGATCTCTAACATCACTGGTCTAAAAAGTGTTCCAGCAGCTTGTACTATAGGGTCATCTTTCCACATAATGACACGATCTTCATTTTTGAGCACTTTTCCCTGTATGTGACTGGGCTGTTTCCAGAGAAAAAAAACAGTGTTCTTGGCACTCTGTAATTTTCCTGAAACAGTGATTTTGTCATATTTATTTTGGTATTTTTCTCTAAAATAACCAAACAGCTTCTGCTCACATGTGCCACTGAATGGCAATAATTCAGCTTGATTAGACAGCTTACTTTCCAGAGCAGTTGAGTTGGATGAGATACAAAAAGCACTGTGGCTGAGGAGCATCATCATTTGGTCTTCTTCACAGCTGCGACACTTGATTATTCAGACTCTTTATGCCACAGATGAAAAACCTAACCAGAAACAGATGGAGGTTTAATATTTTTAGAAACAGTACTTCAAAGTTAATAAGAGGAAGAGAAAAAGATTTCAGCTTTGGAAATAAATTCAATTTTAAACCTACTTCTTAAAGTATATTCAATAGGATTTGCAAAAATATTCTAATTATAAACAATGCTGTCCCCAGAATTTTTCCTCAGATTCTTCCCAAGCATGTTGCTTGAAGCCAAAACCTGTATACAATGAAAAGCTTTCAGTTCAGGTATAGTAGCTGCGCTATGGTAGCATTTTAAAATAATGCACAGACATCAGATCATTTATTTAAAGGTTTTTGCTGCTTCTGCTTGAGTATTTATTTTAATTTTGTACTTTTTTCCAGCATTTTATTGCTTTTTATGTTGGACTTGCTGGGAAAGCTGGAGCCCAGGTCTCTGATATTTAAGAATGCTTGTTGATAAGTTCGAAATGAGGTATCCTAAATATCTTCACATTTAGCTGACCAATTAACTGTTTTCAGTCATCATAGTTTTCCTGTAAGAGGAAATGATCCTTCTCTTCTGAATTAATAGTGAAATAGTGCCAGAGACTGATTAGTTCTGCTTTTCAAACTGCATATGTGATAAAGATGTATTTTTTTTATGAAGAGGGGAATTAATTATCTTAATTCTGCAAGTCTGATAAAGGCAAATGTCTTCTATCTCTTACTAGTAGCCAATCTGTAGCGTAGAGTCATCTTTATAACCATGCAGAAAAATTCCTAGCTCAGCAGTGAAGAAACTCTGACTATGTCAGGGTTGAGTGCTGTTCTCATCTTCTGAGGATTATCTTATGACCAAAAGAGGTAGCATCTTCACCTTTCATCCTACAATTTCAGTATAGATACACATGGAGTTTATAAGGGCCTGATTTAATGAGTATTACACTGTATGATATAAGAAGTAGAATGTCCCTGTAAAATTTTAAAAATAGATTTTCTTCTTTAATTGTTTCTTCTTTAATGAAACAGTGTGGTTGTTATATGTAAGATGGAAAAAAAATTCTGTTGATTATCGCTGCTTTTGATGGAGAAAATTCTGAAATCCTTAGGCCGTTTAAGTCTCAGCTGATTTCTGGCATTGGCTGATGTATTTATTATGTTCATAAATTAGAATTGTGAGATATCATATTATGAATTTTTTTTTTTAAGTGGGAGTTTCTTGCCGTTTGGGTCCAAGGAGTCACAGTAGTCCAGTGATGTCACCAGACTTTTAATTCCACAGTGAGATGGTTAGTACAGATAGAAGTGATTACATTCAGATATAACTTAGAATCAGTTCTGCTCATCATTTTCAGCTCTTTCTAGTTTCAGTGGGAAATACTCCCAGGAGCAAGCTCAGAAAAGCTCTGAATTACTTAATCCATTTCTTTCACATCATGGTATTTGGCATGTTCAGTTACAACATTTGTTTAATACTGTTAAACAAAAATCTTCTCATTACTTCAGACTTGTCTATCTCTTTTTGCCTCATATCTTTTGGAAATCAATCTCTGCCAGCTAGCTTACTGGCTTTTTTAAAGCTTCCAAAAGTTACAGTTCTTTTATTAATATTGGTCACAAACTATGAATATATGCTGCATGTCATTAATTATTTGTCAGGTACTTCAGAGGTGTATTGGAGTTCACAGTGAATATTGTGTTTGTTTCTTTGATGACCTGTAACTGCGCTATTGCTTGTAGAAACATCAGTCATGCTGACGTCTCATGATTTCTTAGTGTTTAACTACAGTCAAAAAAAAAGCTAAATGTTAAAATGCTAATTCTGTAAGTGTTAGTTGACTTCACTTTCTTTTCTGTGTTTGGCTGCACTAGGTAACTTTACCATTAAATCTTAGGCGTTGAATTTCTCTCTTATTTTGCATTGTGAGTGTAATTTATAAAATGCAGTTGTTGTTAGCTACCATTCATTTCTTTATAGTAGGGCCTAAAATCCACCATTACAAACTTAAAAACCTCTGGTTCTATGATTTTGTAAATAGATGATAAATGAATAGTTATTTCCCAGAAGGGTTCATAAGCTAAAAGCAAGCTATGACAGTGGGGGTAGCAAGCAAGAGGAAAGAACAGGGGCACAAAAAACAGTGAAATCACAGAAGAAAATGAATTAGTTCCTGTGTTCTAAACAGGAAAGAGCTGTAAATGCTGTCTTTGGTATAAGTGGACAGAAATTATTGTTAGATGTTTACTTGTACAGACAAAAATCATGATAATTTATATAAATTATAAAATTAAGTACTGTAGCCTCTTTTACAGTGATGCGTCTCTCACTAATTATCTTTGCTACTTGGTCCAATAACATTGGTGATATTTCAAAGGAAATCGAATAGTAGGGACAGATGAAATGCAGGTAAGGCCCCATAACCCAGATTGCCTTCTGTCCACATAGTGTGTGAGCTATATCTGTATAAATAAAAGCACACAAGATTTGTGAAGTAATCATTTATTATGCAAACACTAGGACTTCATTATATCAAATTTTATTAAATATGTACATGTTATTACTATTTAAAGAACAAGTATCATTTCAAGATCTGCAAACTTCTCTCTAGCTTTGAGAGCTGCGGCAGAGCCTGTATTAATGCTAGTTTGAAAGCTGTAAGCTCATGCAGTGTCACTGTAAGTGACACAGCACCACCTTTGAAGGTAAAACTTCATCAGCTGTATTCTTTAGTTACAAAACAATCAAAAATATTTCCTGACAATAATATATTTGTACATGGTTTATATTTCCCAACTCTGTCCAACTTCTAGGATGGAAGCAAAGAATTCTGCCATCTTTAGGATTCTCAGATGCTGAAGAAGGGGGTTCGTACCAGAAACATCTGATGGTAATAAAGGCACCTTAAAAATAGAGAGGAGGGCACAAGAAGCAAAAAGAAAGTTGCGTCCATCTCCTCTGCTGGTATCCAGCCAGGAGGTCTTAAAATTTTTCTTGCTCAGGGGCCCATGGCCTCAGTGAGGATAATGCTTCCTATCACTGACCCCCCTTCCCATCACCTCACCACTAAACTGATAGGTCAACTTCTTCTTGACCTTCTTGACCTCCCCTGTCTTGCCATAGTTTCTCAAAGCTCGTGCCATTTTCTGGTAAGTCATTTTCTTGCGATTGCCTTTCTGGATGCCCCAGCGATGCGCCAGTGCTTCTTTGTGTTTAGATGAGAACTGGAAAGTACCCTTTTCCTTGTCCACCCACCAGATGCTGTCCTTCATGTCTCCACTGCGAAGAAGGTCCAGAAGGAACTGGTATAGACGGATCTTCTTCTTGCTGCCTATGTGAGAGTTAGAGGAGAAAGGCATTGAAACATAAATTTCAGTTTATACTCTCAGATAAAACAGGGGATTTATATAGTTCATATAATTATTCCAAGTAGTTTGTGAATTCATCTAACTTCTTCAATCTGCAACATTTACAACAATAGACAGCAATAGACTGACTTACACTGTGAAGAACTAAAGTAGGTTTGTGAACCAAGAAGAAAAAAAAAAAAAGAATTCCAAAGATATAAACCTTGTTTTGAAAATAATTTACTAATTCGAAGCTAGTTGGAAAACACTGCTAATTTGAAACTTATCTGAAACTAGTTTGGGCAGGTTGTACAGAATCCGATTTTCTGGTACTAACCAAACAGAGCTTAATATTAAAAAAAAAAAAAAAAAAAAAAAAAACAGTTCCTTGACCTCCTTGCTTTGGTTTTTCCATTTGTTAATGGAAACAAGAACAGACATGGCAAGTACTAACAGGAAGCCTGATTAAGCAAAGCAGAAGATAAAGTGGGAATGCTTGAAGAAATTAGAATTGAACTCCAGCCACAGTTATGCTCATAAACAATTGTGAAGACAGGAAAGTGCAAGGGCAGAAAAAGTCAGGGAAAGTGAAGCTTGGGGAGTGGGTAAAATAGTAGCGCAGCAGTTCTACAGCTTTATTCATTATCATCGTAGTGAAAAGAGAGCTGTTCAACTCCCAGTTCAGCCAAGTCCCACACTTTTTACTGACCTGCTTCTCCATGCATAATTCCAGGCGCAGGGTCCACACCATCAGTCTCCCCATCTGATACCTCCAGAGGGGGGCTCTGCCTTTCTATGTCCTCCTCATCAGAACTGGGCTGCAGTGGAGAGGTGTATGGTAGGCACATCCGGGGCAAATAGGAAACCTTTGGGACAGCAGTAGTGGAGAGAGGGAGGAGATAGTGACAGAGAGTGGGATATTTAAAAAAAAAAAAAGAGAGAGAGAGACAGAAGGGGGTGCAGTTATTTAGGGTAATAGCTAGGGACTTAGTTGTTGACATTTAAAATAAATACCAGGCAGCTAAGAAACCCATCCAGCTAACAATTAACACTTATAATGTACAGAGATAAATTTTAAATAAGTCTTTACAAGAGGGAAGGAGGAACAAGGTTGTGAAAGTCAGACCTTTCCCATGTGTTACATTCTATGCAAGTGATATTGCCCCTCTCCCCACACCTCCTCAGTACAGTATCCTTCTAATTTAGATGACATTTCCTCTCTTGAGAGTGGAATTAGCTGTATTTCTTATGCAGAAGAACCCTACAAGAAGGTGATAATGGTCACACACAGAACCAGATTTCCTAATGGACTCAGAATGCACTTTTTTTCTGGTTAAAGACACCATATTCATGTAACAGGTGCCTTTGTCTGATATATGGATTACTCTATGAATGTTCTCCTAAAATGAGATTTTGTAGGCAGGCCTTCTGGGGAAAAATGCTATATTGGTAATACTTGCTTTGAAAATACTGTAATTCCTTTCAAAATATTGCAAGATGCCTGCTGTGTCGTGAATGTAGACCAAGACAGTGCTTTTTCAAGGAGTGTTACCTAACCCCTGTGCAAAATTTGTTTTTTGACAACTTTTTTCTAACATGGATTTTCTAGAAGTACTCTTAATTTTGCCAGTGCTGAGCAGTTCTTCCCTAACAGAACCACTTGAACTGCTTTTGGCTCTGTTGACTTTTTCTTTATTGGATATAGCACCTGCTGGCAGCACTGAAACCCTGTAGGGCTGCATCCAGCTCTGGAGCAGGGGTTACACACATCTGTCAGCTTCTCGTCTTGAATTCCCTTCTGTGGAGGGGAATAGGTTTCCCACTAAGATAAAGAATACATCATACCAAATACAACACATTCTCTTCTCCTATGTGGTTATATGAAAATTCCCTCCTGGTGGGGATTTCTCATCTGGAAAGCTTGCAACCTGTCTTCTGTGCTACATTCCCTCACCATTTTATGGGGGACATGTCAGGAGCACTGTAGAATATACCTCCACTCTAAATTCTCTATTTCTTTATGGTTTGTTAGGGATCACAACTAGCTGCCATGACAGATCCAGTGGGAGAGGGGAATAAGGAACCCAGTTCCTACAACAAAAAAACACTACCCACTTAATAATAAATACAGTTCTCATGAAATGTCCCAGATTGATAGCCCTGGAAGGCAAACTCTTTATGAAGTGCTCTTCTTCCTTCCAGTGAGAAAGGATGCTTTGAACATGATTCCCTTCACCCAAGCTTAGGCGCTGCTGCGGGAAGTGGGTGTTCACCTCGTGACTCACACTATCCACCCGACATTAGGCCCTGCTGGGTGGTGATTTCTAGATGAGCTTTGCACCACTTTAAAATGTCCCAATAAGGAGTGCGCAAAGGGCTGGTTTAGGGGTGCAGCAGATGGCGGTTAATGAGTTGGCAGATTGGCTGGAGACGAACATGGCAGGAAGGCCAGGATTGGGTAAGAGTGTGTGTAAGCTTCCTGTCAGATCCCCAAGAGCGAAACTTCAACCCTTACCACAGAGTCACCTTTAGCATTTTACAGTTAAGAAAGCTGTGGCCTCAGAGTTAGGAAGGAAGGGAGAGACAACATTGGTGGGGGAAGGGGACTAAGGCGTTGGGACAATGTCCTACAGGAAAGGGGGACAGAGATTGGTGCCACTGGAAAGAATGTGGCTGTGGAAACTCAGAATGTGCTGAAGGGTGGGGTGGGAGAGAAGCAACAATTCCTCTGGGGTGGAAGGTAAGCTGGGACACTGCTGAGGAGGAATGGTAACTCTGGGGCAAAAGAAGATGCAGATGTTGAACTGCGGAGGTGCCTGAGCTTCATCAGCTCCTTATTTGCTGCCTTTTTGGTTACACTTGCATTCCTAATGTCAAAAACTCAATGTAGGTCAGTGTCCTGAACACAAACTTGCAAGGGACTACCTAGTATGTTTAAGAGAGCTAGGTTATTAATACAGTTCTGGAAAGGGAAAACTTGAAGAAATTGCTACTTTCCATATTCTGATGCTGTCTCAGACTCTGTGGTTTTCCTCTTCATAATTCTCATTGCAGTTTTCCTACCTTTTCTTTCAGTCTCTTATCAGAATGGCTGTTCTTTTTTTAATTTATTATTTGGTGAGAGTACCTATGGGCAAGCTATCAAAACCCTTTTAAAGAAATCTTGTTTTAAAAAATCTTGTTTGAGCCTCAAATTTGATTTTGAAAAATAAGGTGATTATCAAAAGAAAACTGGAGAAATATCTTTGCATATTCTTCCTTTATTCGCAAACTGTAGCTCTGATATTGCATGACAGTCAGAGGCGCAGCTAGTAAAGGGTAAATTCAGCTGATGCTTAGAGTTTGCCTCCTGTTTCTGTTTCCCTAAAGATGCCTTTAATAACAGTATGTGTTGCCTAGGGTTGTGGCTGAGGCACAACAGAGTCTGAACCTCAGAGCTCACTGCATACCACTTGCTTGAGTTGCTATAGGCTAAAGTAAAACCCCAAAGATCCCCAGCTGGTGAGGAAGAGTGGACTAGTGGTGAACAGACTATTCATATCATCTGCAGTTCAGCATGGGGTAGGGAGAGGGAATGCAGGGCTCTCTATTCTATTTCATCCTGAAATGTAAGGTGATTCCTGAATAGCATGAAGTAAGATAAGCAAAGCCACCCTTTCTCTCTTGTTTACTGCTGTCCTTCCAAAGAAATCCGTAATGGGGCTAGTTTTAATTGTGGCCTTGGGTTGGGTGTAGCAGTTGGTCATTATGTACGAGCAGTTACACTGAGCAACTGAAATGGCTTGAAGCTTCCCACAGACTGCAGGTCCATGAAACGTTTTTATATTTGTAACTTTCTGTTCCTACTTCTCTGTTTGTATCTCCATCTTATATTCTGTTGCTGATTTTTATAGAGCAAAAGGTGACAAGATTATGTATTTATATATGATTTCAGTTTGCTTTGAACAAAGAAACCCATAATAACAACTGCGTGAAAGCAGTTGCACTGACAAAACCTTTGCCATGGCACCATTATATACAATATGGTAATCAGTAAACACCTCTTTCTTTGACCTTGTATGCCTTGTATTCAGCAAATGATCAGTAGCTTGCCTGTTCTGGGGAACTCCTTAGCGCAAGTTCGCCCTGCTCTCTCATTGTTCCCTGTAATGAGTCTGGGCATATTCTTGTGGACTCATGGCTTAAAAGGGATTTCCACACCCACTTTATCCTAGCATATTTACAGTACCGGGGAACGCCTTATAATTTCAGCTTCAGTGTGTAGTCAGCGGTACTTCCATGACTATCTTTATTGAACAGCAGAGATAATTTTTTTACTGGGAGATGACTGTCTGCATTTAAAAACTGAGTAATGACAAGGCAGTGTATTGCATCTCATGACTAATCTACTTTTAGGTAGAAACATACACATGCCTGCAAAATGCTTCATGGTGGTAAAATTACCCGCGACTTTCCTTTATTTATATTTTGTGTAGGATTCTGTGTATGTGAAATTTTGAGGGCTGCTTTGAAATACTTAAAGCTTTCATACTGTTTTGTGGCTCAGAACACTTCCAAATTGATTCCAAATTAAACAAAAATTGAAATTTCAAAACTCTCAACATAATGGAATTGTCTTTTTATGCACATTTTGAGGAACACTGCCCATTTACTAAGGGGCCTGTGAACCTCCAAGTCTTCATTCAGGTGAAAAGAATAAGCATTCCACACTTGTCATCAGCTGGAAGAGTTTTCTATCAAGTACTTGTGCAGTAATAATCCAATAATTAATTCTATCAGCATCTTGGCATAAAAATATGCACCCTGATCTCTATCCTTAACTATCATCCTAAGTTCTGAGCAAGAACTGGTAGCCATACCTGATGGTTGAGCCCAATGTGTGTGGTTGGGATTGCAGAATCCAGGACATGCATCTGTTCAATCTCCATGTGCCTGTAGAGCTGTTGCAGCTGGGGAGGCTGTACACTCTGCAGTTCTGTGAAGTGGTTGTCTCCAAAGGTCTCAAACTCACTGTGCATGTGGTGTGGATGATATTCCCAGTAATGATCTAAGGAAAATAAAAACAATTTGTATGTCATTATGAAAGTAAAAAATGCATTTATTTGTCCTCCACTGCCTCCTGCTCCTATAACTCTCTTTTCTCCCTGTCACAATCCATACGTATTCCTATAAAGTTTTCTTGACTCACAAATGATACATAGGCAACTTTCATTAGGAAAACACTCCTAGAGTGAACCGTGATAGATTTCAGTGGTAATACAGCATAAAGTATCAAAGGGGTTGGTTCTGGCACCTTTCTCAACAGGAGATCCTGTCAATCTTACGTCTTCCTTCCTCAGGCAACAAATCCCACTGTTTTATATATCTTCAGGTTGTCGTTAGAGTCTTCCTCATGGTGCAGAAGTAAGAAAAATTAGAGCTCTTTGTACCATTACCTTCATTCTTTGTTTTAATCTGGTGCCAAAATTTCAGTCGTGTGCAGAAAAGCCTTGGGTCTTTGCTTGATTTTTATGTAATCTTGTGTTGGTATTTTACACATTTTCAATACCAATATCAGAGAATAAAAAGATAAAAACTGTTGGGAGGGTCCTGAGTACACCCTAGCACAGTGGGGCAAATGTCTAGTGCAGAATCTTTGTCAATTGTTTTTATCTCTGTAATATATCAGTAACGTGTGAGAAATTTAATTCTTTTCAAAGACATGAAAAAGCACTCAGATAATCAGCATATTGTCTCCTACTTTGAAATTAAATTCCATACAATTTGCCGTTTTTGATTTTCTGCTCTATATAAATCTCCTAAATTCTCAGAATTTTGTATTTTCTACTCAAAATCTAAAATCTATTAGAGGCAATTTGAAGTTTTGCAAACTCCATTTCTCTCACAGAGTAGTTGCATGTATAGTTACTCACATATTTGTGTGCACTCTGTTTTTTAAAATCAAGCTAACATCACATCCTCTGCTTTGATCAAGCTTGGAACTAGTCTTCAGTAATTTCACATATCATTTTATGCATAGTCATAAGTTCTTTATGATATTCAGTGTAACATTTGTAATTTTTATCTCATCACTCCTCATTTTCTCTTCTTATATTATTCTAAATTATTTCTCACCCTTCATATATTTTCAGGATGCTACCATGTATCCTCACCAACTACACTTAATCCAGTTGTGCATGTTGACTTTCTTGATCTTTCAGTACAAATCAGTACATTTGACCTCCTAATCATACTTGTGCTCTTGTCCAAACTTCCTTCTATCTTTTGACATCCTTCTGAATATATGATGGACAGAACTGAACATGTTCCCAGTGCACTTGCACTGAAGGGAAGACTAACCGTCCCACACTGTAATATGATGCTACCGTATATGGTATTATTTGGATACTGGAGTGCTGTAAATATTTTTGTTTTTCAATACCTATTTCATTTGTTTTCTCAACTTTTATCTCCTCATCATTCCCTGTTTATCTTTTGGATATTTAGACCTAACCCACTCAAGAGTTTGAAAAGCAGGAGAGTGGTATTGCATGTGACCTCTCTCAGAGTGAACCTGATGTCTCAAGATGACATGTTCATAATACACCCTTTTGTACCTGAGAAGTTGTAGGCTCTTTTTGCTGCCTTTAGGGCTCAGGCCTGTAGAAGTGTATTTGTTGGAAACTTTATCAGACCATTTCCATACTAGGGCTTACTTTTCTGTCCTTCCTACTTTTTTCTATCATAGATAAACCAAGTCATGGCATGGGAAAGAGATAGAAAAGTGTTTTTAAAAATGCTCAGGATGTTGCTGCATTTACTTTGTAATTTCACTGGTTTGTTATATGGTGCTTTCTGTGGACTATATATATGGATTTTTTTAGCCAGAAGTTATAAAGCTTAGTAACTTACTAAGCTTCATGTATTAATGCTGGAGATAAATTTTGTTTTCTCCATGAAAGGAATGACTCTTTCATGACATAAAGTACTTTTGCATATTATATTTACTTCTTCTCCAACCCAAGGAATGGTAGAGCATATATAAGTCTGAGTCTGTGTGTAGTGTTCTGATAAGAGGCTTTGGGCTCATTCAATGTGAAAGATATTTTGTGGTTTGAAGGCTGAGCTGCACTAATTCACGCTTTTGTCAGGTTAAATTACTGTAAATTAATTAAAACCACCGATGGTGGCAACATGGTTGTCTCCATCCATGGTGGCCCAGCAGCCAGCCAGCTGTATGTAATAAATTGTTGCAAATGCATCGCAAAGGTACTCCTGTTCCTCACACTGCTCTGGTTGTGCTTCTTGTGCAGAAAGTCCTCTGGCAGATGGCAATATTTCTTCTCAAAGACCACTTCTCTTTGGTGATCTACTGCAGCAAATGAGAACCTTAAAAATCTTGAGGATCTCTCTAAGGCTGGAGAGTGAGTAGTGTCAATAGCAGCTCTTTAGCTGTGGATTTTCTTTCTAGTTGTAGCTAAGGTGATCAAGAGACAAGGCAGTTTATATCCATTATGCATAACTATGTGCATTTGTGCATGCTCTAGTAGTATGCTTTGGAGTCCTCTTAAATATTTTTATGAGCAAGGACATTTTTATACTCCACGTATACTCCATGTATACTTCATACTTCAAGATATACTAGAGTCTGTGATTCTTGCCGCCTCTAGATTTGTAGTTTTTAAACTCTTCTTTGGCAAGTGAATTGACCTGTACAGCAGTATTTACACTGATTCATGTTAATCTCTATGCAATAATTAGCCTACTCAATAATTATTTTCTTCTCTATTTTATTATATATCGCTGAAGTACTATAATAATGCTTCAGTATAGTTATGCCAATGTATAATTTGGGGACTTAACAGTGATCGCATAATATCTGTATATTACAATGTCAGAAATTACTTCAACATAAATTACATCCCTACGCACAAGTTGTGACAGAAGAAAAGTCCTTATTTCATTCTAAATTATGTGTAATTTCAGAATGATCCTTGGGAAAAAAATGTTGATTTAGTGACTCTAAAAGAGAAATTCCTCATTCTGTCTCCACAAACCTCTACAGTTGCACTAGCCTGCCTAATTTAGTGCACATCAAAACATAAACGATTTATAAATATCTTCAAGTATCAGAGTTATCAGCTGCTTTGCAGCTATTTCCTTCTACCTTATGTGTTAGTGTGATGTCAATAATGTGTTGCAGTTCTTTTCACAAGAAAGTAAAGGTGGAGGTAAAAGAAAGGAGATAAATGTTCTAGAAATGGAAAGTGTCTCCTCTTTGGGTAAGGAAAATGTCACTAAAACCCAACATATAGCTACACAATGGAGTCATTACGAGAAATTTCATATGAAGTGAAAGAGGATGTGAAAAAAAATCTCTCTTATAGAGACATGGAGCTCATGTTTGTTTTGGTATTGTATGTAGTGAAAGGTTAGAGGAAGGACAGTCATGAGTTTTGAACTCCCTCCCAGACAGAAGGGATGTTAGGCTGCTGGGATGCAATAGTGGATTTAAAGGCATTGTGGGAATATTCATCATAGAGACAGATTTGCATGCAAGAGGTGAGAAAATGTAGCTAAATTTTCTTGGCCATCCTATGACCAAGAGAAATTTCTCTCCTCTTGTTTTAATAGATAAATAACATAAGGACAGACAATTAGAACCCGAAGTAGGCTTAAGAAAACATTAAGTGAAGCAACGGGCTAAATCTGCATCACACAGTGCAAAACCATACAGAAATTTATGAGACAGCTTTTGAAACAGAAATGTGATGGCTATGTTGGCACAGCACTGCTTGATCTAAGATCACTGTATTAACAAGTCATAATTTTGAAGTCTGAGTTAGAATGTCTGATTCTACTCTGTGCCTTGCAGATATTCCCACTCATTATGAACTGGGAGGTTTTTTACTCAGTGTCTCATTGTATGGCTTCAGTGTTCCCACTGTATTTTACCTGTCTGAAAAAAACAAGACAAGAGAAAACCCACAGAGGAAATGAGAAAAATATCAAAGAACACTACAAAATTCATGTCTTGATTCCCTAAAAAACCACTGTGTTGAGCAAAATGCCATGTCTCTAGGCAACGCATCAGTCTTAGGGAGAATGACAACAAAATCTCCTTAGCTCTCGCTTTACTAATTAACAAAATTTATAATTTTAATAATGCCAAACATTAGAAAATATATGAGTCTGACCCCAAGAAATCTTGAGAATGCCTTCAAAGTAAGGGGATTTTGCAGTTCTTTCTATTTGCCATATGGTATTTAAGATTAAGTTTCACATGTCTGGATTTTCCTGCACTACAGTGTGGGCTAAAATCCTCACAAGGATCTTAAAAAGTCTTATTACTCCAAGAGGTGGGATGAAAAAACACAAATCAAAACACAAAAACTAGTAAGTCTCATGAACCTAGCAAGAAAATGAAAAGTGGATTACATTTAGCTTCGTACAAATAATGATTTTTTTCTTTTACTAAACCAATCATATTTAGTAATAATTCAGAGACAAAAGTACAGTGGAGTTTTGTAATTATCAGGATTGCATTAGTGTTACAAAATGTGTTACATTACGTTTACAGTCTTACTAGCATATAAACTTAGCGTAGGGCAGTGGACTAATACACTTGAAGCAGTTTCTGCCCTGCATGTCTTTATTTCTGTGTTTATTACAATATTTGCAAAATAGTTAGTCTACAATATACAAAATAAATGCAAATAATGCATGTTGTAATTTAGCATCTGCATTTTCTGTGGTTTATTTTTGTTAGTTAAATTTACCAATTCACTTATTTGCAATGATCTCCTATGTACTAAATTACTGCCATTCTGCTGCATGCACTTTACTGAGCTGCACTTGACAGTCAAGTGATCACTCCCCCATAATATTTAGCTGTTCATTGCTAATTGATAAAGATTCAGTTGAAATATGTAGGTTGGGATTAAGTTGCCTCTTCCATAACCACTCAATGTACAACATTTCTGGAGTCTCTTGACTAAATGTAACAAAAGTTTTTGGGGAAAAGAATTATCTTGAATAGTGGTTTAGGTGTCCTCAGCATTCATATTGAATTGCGTAATTAATCTACTTAATCCAAATAGGTGGCTTTGAGATTTGTTGTGTTCGTCAGAGAGAGTTAAAATGTGCCAGTGATCTGAAAAGTGTACCTTAGGAATAGCCTTCCAGTAAGCCAGACCAGACTTGATAATGCTATGAAGGATAAAGAGGTATTGTTGCGTGAGGCAGCCTAGATTTCATAGCACAGGTTATCTTCTAGTGCTTCCTCCTGCATAGCACCTTTTATATTTATTAATTGTCACAATTGCCCTTTGAAACAATAAATATCATCCTTATTTTATGGACGTGGAAACTGAGGTACAGATTACAAAGTAGAAAGCTGGGTTTGTTTAATGTGGCTTGACAGAATCCATGAGATAATTTATGAAAACTAATTGAATTATTTGTCTTCTGGCCTTCAGAGTTTTGTATTTGTTTTTTGAATGCAATATAGAGGAAAAAAATCAGTTAAATGTACAGCCTATTCTGAAAATTGTTGTCCTTTAATACAGATTTTGCTGGCACAGATAAAGCAGTACTGTTATGTAGTTGTTAGGTGTCTTTAAGCAGTATCTACTGTATCTATAAAAGTCTTTATGGGAAACTCCAGGAGATACCATGGCTGTCATGACTGGTACAGCAGAACGGTGCTTTTTCTTCCTGAGTCAACACTGACCCTGATATTTCCCATGTGAACATTGTTTTGCACAGGAGAGGAGATTCACAAAGCTGGGCTCTCTCCTCTGCATTGATAAGAGTCCAGTGACCATAAGACATGAAAAAACAGAGGACAGCAAAACTTACTTCAATACCACCATTAATTTGAAAACACATGTACAAATTGAAGCAATAAAAAAATCCTACCTTTTTTTTTTTTTTTAATCAAGATAGGTTGATATACAAATGGTTACAAGGAAGTTTTATGTAGATATAAAGAGAGGAAGTACTTGGGTGCATTGAAGGAAGAGTGAAAGCTGAAGCCAGGTGTGACAGCATGCAAAAGAGGCCAAATGAAAGCGGCCAAATGCCAAAGAAACAATAAAAATGAAGGAACAAACAGATCATTTAGGACCTAAGTCTAAGGAGAATTAGAGATGGCAGCACAAGAAGAGAAGTACAGTAATGCAAATCCATGTTCTCAGAGTTCTCAAGTAAGCAGAGTGGTTTTGATATGCAGAGAAAAGTTAAAATACAACAAAGATAATGAGGGATGGAGATCATGAGATTCCCACCTTCCAAGCAATAAACTGAATGTCCTGGAAGTTCCTCATGTTAATCAATACGTTCTAAAAATTTCTTTTAGACAGAAGACTGTCACAGTTTCTGGGTTGGAATGGTGCCACTGATCAGAACGAATGATTGTAGATTTCTGATTTAAAATAAGTACCTACATATTATAGATCAAACAAACATGTTCTTTTTCTGAATGTCCAATCTCTCTCCTGCATTATCCCATGAGACTTTACGTTCCAAGGAAATATTTTTAAACTTACCACCATGACTCTCTCCATCACTGTTGAGATACTGGTAATAGTCATGGGGCTGTCGGTACAGGTCTGACTCATAGGGTACCATATCTTCAGAGGGCTGTAAAGAGAAGAGGAATTTTTAGAACTGTAAGCTTAGATAGTCTTGTAAGACCCATCAGTCTAAGGGGGGGTTGCAAACACATTTTTATTGCTGAGGGAAAGAATGGGGAGGCTTCAAGATTTATTGAACCAGTAGGAATAATAAGCTTGACAGTAAGCACTGGCTTCCAAAAAAAAAAAAAATCCAAAAAAAAATTCCACCTCCTCAGACTCCGTGAGAAGAGTTTTCTGCTGCCTGCTTGCCAAATCCTGGCCTGTGGTATTACACAAGACACTCGGGTGATGTCCCATCCCTCAAACTTCTGCAGATGTTAGTGATACCTCAGGCATCATGCCCAGGCCAAGAAGATATCACACAAGCACAGCACAGAAACCTGTTCTTTAGTTGTGACAGACATATACTGTTCTTCCTCCTGTGCACAGGTGACACAGGAAACTATCCTGTTTGTGGTCTTCCCTGTGTTAAGCAATCCAATATAAGCATTCTTTTAACTTATTCTGTTGTTTCAGTAAAGGCAGTATTTAATTCTTTTGCTTTATTTAAAGTTTGCTTTCGCTGATTTCTCAAATGAAGAGTTAGAACAGCACAATGGTTGTTCACAGTCGTTTATAAACTTTTCTCCAGTTAAGGTCATTAAAATATTTTCTTTTGCTGTATGTCAGGACCAGCTCTAACTATTTTAAAGTAGTTGTTTTTGTCCCTTCCTATACATGCCATAGTTAACTGTGTCACCCCTTCAGAAGGCCCTGTGCAACAGGCACTAGAAACATCCCTTTTCATTGTCCTGGTCAACTGCCCAGTTTTCTGGAGATGGACTGTTTTGCCCCTCACTGCTACTGAAACCCAAAGACGACTGCTGGAGACAGAGGAAGCTGTATTCAGAAGGCTAACAGCAACTACCAGAAAGTTCGTATGAAATTCAGAGGAGACAAGAAAATCTGGAAAAGATAAAAATCTCAAATCCTCATCTCTCTTCATGAATCTGGCTCATTTTTAGAACACAGGATTTTTCTAAGTTTACGCTACAGCGACAGCATGCTAGAAAAGCAGGCAAGCTTCTCTTTTTCTAGCTTTTTTAGTTTCCTTGCAAACATGAAACTTAGTGCCGCAGCTTCTATTAAAATTCAGGTTGACTTGGGAGAAAAGCGACGGGCAAAAATACAATTTTTTTTTTTTTTGGTGGAACCTAGATCAGAGTTGCCATTGTTCATTAATCCTTCTAATTTAATTCTTCCAGTTAACTCCTTCAGGTCATTCTGTTGTAGGACTGTTATGTTCTAAGGAAGTACCTTCTCAGATGACATTGAAAAAAAAACATGAGTAACAAGATGGACTCATTCCCAGAGGATTAAAATATTAGAACACAAAAGGTTAAAAAGAAGTGCTGCTAAAAAGTATTTGGAAGCTTTTTAGAACCCCACTGGCAGCTGTGTGCTTTGTTAGCATATCATATTAGGATGCGCTGGTACTAGTATCTAAAACATCCTGACTTCTAGTATGCAGATAAATTGAAATGAACCCTAATGAGGTGTCAGATCCACGGAATCCTCAAAGCTCCAGGAGAAAACTCTTTGCCTAGCTGTAAGCTCCTACGATCAACTGTGGTGGTAAATAATTGTTCTGTAGAGACATCAGAAAATGATTACCACAACAAAGGCAATGTAAGAGGAAGACTAAATGAAAGGACATAATCAAAATTTGTATCGCAGCAGAGGACCAGACTCCTCTTATTTCAGATCTGAAGGGAATAGGTTCAGTCTCTCTTTCCATATCAATATTATTCCACTAGAATCACCCCTCATCTACACAGGGATTTAATGGAAAGTAGAGTTCATTTTCCAGATTTTAGAGAGCTAATGACAGCGACAGCACAAGTTTTCCATCTCTCCAGTGCTCTTGTTTTTCCTCTACATATTTTCTTTCATATTTTTCTGGTCATATGCATTCAGTCATCCTAATTCATTATACCTAATTCATTATACCTTTGATCTCCTACAATAAAAGGTACTGATGCCATTCTTCATAGCCAAATAAGAGGATGAAGTTCTGAACAGAATTTCCAATTTTCATTATCTTTGCAAATTAATTAACCCCACTCCCATTTCCTTTCCATAAGTATATACTTCCTGTCAAAATCATGTCAGTATGAAGAATGTAAACAGAAAATGCACATCATGTAAGCTGGGAGAAAGGGAGATAAAGAAGTCATATAAATGTATATCATTCATATCTTTGTTTCCTTTCAGCTGAAATACCAGAACCTGACTAGAATTGTACATATTCTCCATATCTAAATGCATCAAAATTTATAATTTTGATGCATATTTAGCCAAAAGTAAGAAAAAAAAAACAGTCAATTTAGGCTTAATTTGCCATGTTTTAAATTTCTACTCCTGCTCCTGGTTATCTGCAAAAGCTCTATCACTTTTATATCTTTACAGTACCATAGTTTGGTAGGCAGGCCAAGCAGCAGTCCCAAAATAGATAAGAAAGAATATCTCACTTTCTTAGTTTTATTTTCCCTTAGTTATCTCTTTTTTCCAAAGATTTCCCATATCAGTCCAATATACCTGCTAACAACCAACATACTCTCACATGCTGAGAACGAATTATTCCTACCATTCAAGGGCTAGCATTAAAAGTTCACATGTGTATTCAATGATTAGAACTGTTAAATGAAAGTGATTTCCTTAATATTTACAGACATTGCTGATTGCAGAGTTGCGGAAGCTCAGCATCTAAAAATCAGTCTGCTTTTATATAGATCACTGTTTTTTACATACTTTGTTTTGAAAGTCTGGAATTTAGAATCTGTTTCTTATTAATTGTGGGAATAGTCTTTCTTGAATTTATTTTCCGCTCAGTGATTCATTGGAAGAAATACAAATAGGTATATATGTACTCATGCACCTTTAAGCAGTCCATTTCCACAAAGAACTGGAAGTGGCACCACTTTCCATCTTGGTATCTAATCTCTAAGAGTAAAGCAACCAATATGGAAAGATTTATAATTAATGTATAAAGGTCTGTGTATCATATTTTCCTTGATTATGCTTATCCTATGAGGGAGTGGGATGGTTTCCTTCATTCATTAGAGAAGCTATCACCAAGCCTCTTTGTGATATATTTCTCAGATTTTTTTGTCCTTTAAGTCTTACTAAAACTTATTTTTCTCTAGTAGGGAGAAGAGGTTTCACCAAGTACTGCTGTTGTCTTTTGCAGCAGTCATTACCCACCAGCCCTGTCCTTCTCTGGAACCTTTCCACCCATGCACACATTTCACTGTCTTTCTTACATCACGTCTGTGACACTCACTGAACAGTTTTGTTTCCCCAGATAAAAAGCAACAAATTATGTTATAATTTAGTTGCTTAACTGATCATAATGGACATTTTGGACATTGTCCTAGTAATTACTTTCCTGAAAAAGAGTGACAGGAGCCTCTGTTAGGAATTTACAGATTTAGTCCACAATTTTCTGCTTTCCTGCATGCCCTGAAGTGCAGCACATTCTCAAAAATTATGTTCCAACCACACACAAGAAGTCAGCAAACAAGTCTTTCTCTGTCACTGAATTTGGTAAATGGAGAGTTGGTTCTACCTTCTTTCTCCTGAAAATCTAGATGAGTTGTTGCAAAAAGGGAAAAGCCATAAGACCATTTGTACACAGTTGGCCTAGTTGGCATTTGAGAGGTAGAAGGGATTCAACTGAATAACAATCTGAAAATCCTTATTATTCACAAAGGCTTTGTCAGGTGATTCGGGGTGATTACAAATTCAATGAATTCTTATCTTTCTTTGTTATCCTGACGTAACTATCCACTGGCATGTGATTCAGAAATACTCCACACAATTTCCAGTGCTGTGCTGCTAAGACAAGTTTAAAGGCCATTTCCTTGGAAAAATTTACAGCAAAACTATTTTGGAAAAGATCAGGATAAATATTAACATGGTCACTCCTTGGCCCAGCCTCACTAGACTACCCTGGACATGCCATTTATGTGGAACAGAAAGCTTCTGAAGTGCATTTTCACTGTCATACAAATATATCTCCACTCTGAGTACAACAGGTGGCTATTTAGGGATTCACCAATAATCTGGGAACTTCTTTAGATAAAGATGTTTTCTGCTAAGTAGCACAAGTAGGTCCTATCTTCCATTAAACAACACGGTCCCCGTTTGCAGGACTTTTCCATAATTAAGGTCTTAATCTTCAAAGAAAGATGCAGGAGCGCTTAAACCATTTGACTGGCACCTACCAAACGAAGGTTGAGAGTCTCGTTGCATAGTCAAGAGGAAGGCAGTTATTGAGCCACCCTCAACTGAAAGGGGAGGGGCAGAGGAGGGAAGTGTTTGCTTCACAGAAACCCCGTGTCTAGAAAAGGGCTAATGTCGCTCCTCTGAAAAAAGTCCCAAGAGGCACAGACTTTTATAATAATGCCATGTGGGGCTCTAACTGTAAGTGCTCAAAGCAACTAAGTGTAAAACAATTCGGAAAGCACAAAACAAAAAGTTTTCTTGAACATTTTAATCTCAAAAAAAAGTCCAGTCAAGTGTTGCTATAAGATGGAATTGCATTTTCACTGCCTTGTTGACTCAGTCACCTCAACAGAGTCAGCCTGAATACTTATCTGCAACAAAAATTAGAATATAAGCTAGACTGTGTTAGATTTTCACTCCTTTTAGACAATGTATGCACTGAAATTGAAGAGTTAAGAAACAGGCCACAGAAGAGGGCTATGAGGAAACGGGTAGAAAGAAAAATAACATTAATAGTAAAAACAATGGGAGATAGTAGTGGGAGTCAAGCCCAACAAGTAGCATATTCAGAAATCTTTATTTATTGATTTATTTTAATTTTCTCAGTTGCTTTTCGAATTCTTATCCAGGAGTATTTATAGTAGATCTACTGGGTAACTTGAGTATTTAAGAAAAAGAAAGAAGTCTTTTTAGGATCCTCTCACCCTGTGGGTGAATAATGGATTTCATAGGCATGAGTTGACCAACTGCTCGAACAATGGATTTCATGAGAATAACAAGTATTTTTTCTGTCAGTGTGGATAAAAAATATGACAGGAATTGAGAGAGACATCTTTCTGTATGGAAAATAACGACATGTACCTTTAGCCTTCATTAGATGGGACAAGACAAAGATAAAGTACGATACAAATTTTATTACAGTTCTTTGGAGTTGCTTTGTCACTTATTCTCATTGCAAGCACAAACAGCAAATACCGTATGTCATCTACCACATGAAAAGCCAATAAAAACACCTTATCTGAGATCTTTGTAGCTACTACAGAATTAGCAAATCTTGTTAAGGCCTATATTAGCCATTTTGGGGATTTCTTATTACAGTTTGGCTCTGAAGAGCTGGTTAGTGAGATTATGTTCTTCACAAATAACATTCCCCAAACTGAACACAGTGTAAATTACAGCAGTGTAAAAATGCTTCAGAATTAAAGAAAGAACAGAATCAGCCATATAATCATAGAGAAAATTTGTAATCAGCCGTATAATCTTAAAAGAAAATTCGTAACTAAAAGTTTGAAAGACCCAATGTTATTTCCTCCCCACCCAGCTTCACCACTTGCCTTTTATAGCCAGAATAGGAAAGTTTTCAACTGCATCCATGTTTTAACTGCATCCATGGATGTTCAAAATGATTTAAGATTATTTCATGGCTTATACTTTAAATAAAAGTCACAGAATATGACCAAGAGAAGCTGAATCTAAAGACTAGGATTTTGTCATTAATAACAGCACAAAGACCTTCAATCTGCAAAATACAAAAGCAGCATTCCGCAACTCTTTTCTCACAGATTGGTAGATATTTAATACATAAACTATGTCAGAGTCTCAAGACTAATTAACAATTACAATCCAAAGCCAGATTCGGCCTTATACCACAAAGACGGTAGGGAAGAAAAAAGTTTACTGACTTGCTATACATATACCCTACAAAAATACCATGAGTTTAATCTATGAAAACAACTGGAGATCAAAATCAGATACAAGCTGAGGGAGGAAATGTTAATTTTACATTCATTGCAATGTTGTCACTAGTTTTATATATTGACCTGAGCCCAACTTCCTGGCAATACAAATACAGACCAAAAGAGAGACATTTTCAAATATTAAAACTTTGTCTTTGCTACTGAGCCCGATCGACCATATTAGGAATAAACCCCAGATACTCACAGGGGGAATGAGGGGAAATCCTTCCATTTTGCAAGCTTGCAACATTCAGCCAACTTCTGAGTGAATTTTTCTTAATTCAGTTTTCAAACATCCAGAATAACTGTCTTTAAAAATCACATGAAACAAACGAACGAACAAACAAAAAAAGACACAACAAAAGCGAGACCCTTGGGCTCTGTGAAGTCCCTTTGCAGCAATGGATCTCAGTATTGGAGAAAGACCCTAACAAGTTTTCATAGTTTGCCGTAATAGGCTCTGAGGTGAACTTCTTCCCGAGTCGTATCTGAAGTTCCTGATTTTATCAAATGTCTGTAGAAGGGAGATAGCCCGTGGGTCTGTCAGTGCGCTGTGACATCACCGCGCTTAGCCGGTTTGCATAAATCTCATCTCAGGGAGCTGTGGCACTTAAGAGGAAGTCTGCCCTTCACCAGAGCTGCCATGGGCAGGTGCCTCAGTACAATCAGCAGCCCGGAGGCCAGGCCTGCTACCAGTAAGCAAGCAGAGCTTTTATTGACTGGGGAAGGCTCTGGGCTTCCCACTGGAGAAAAAGTGTAGTCATGTTGTTGCTCTCTGCCTTAATGATTTGCCAAGAGCTACCCTGCTGGCAACTGCTGTGAGCATAGGCACTGGCACAGGCTTGCCTTAATAATAGTCTTATGCTGGAATTAAGTGGCAATAGTGAGCAGAAGGGAAAAAAGAGCATGCAGTCTCAACTACAACAATGTTAGGTTCCTACAGGAAATTAAGACTATGCCAATGAGACTTTCTTCATGATATTTTTATTACAGAGTGAAACAATTGAATGAAATCCACTGAGTGCTCTGATTTGTTGCTCTTCTAGGTCCTGCAAGGAGAAGGCAAGTGAGCAGTAAGTTCCATGCCATGGTCTCTACTTCTCCCAGAAGATTTTAACAGTGAGTAGAGCACAGAGTTTAACGGGCCTATCTGAAAAGTGAGGTGCTGAAATTTCTTCTGCTGCTGCTCTTCTTATGTGGTGTTTTTCCACCTCCTTATCCCATTGTTTTACTTGCATTCACCTGCACTGAGCATGTGCCCTTCTTACAAATGGTTCTGCAGAGGCAAGAGTGAGTGGGCCACAGTGCAGCACTGACTGGGTGGGGCCTTGCAGCTCCGAAGGACTCTCTCACTATGCAAAAGGCGTTCTCACTTTGCACTGAGTTACCAATATTTTGGAAAAGTGAAGTTTCTGTGTCTGGATTGTTCCCCCTTCAATCTATGCCCATGGCCCACAGGTTCTGCTTTTGAAAGTAGTCTGTTCACCACTCACCTGGGTCTGTGTCTGAGGGGGAATTTCAGCCACTACAAACTTCCTCCCTTGTACACTGGTAAAACCAGAGACCACTCACAAGTTCCTCTCATTCCCCACCTTAAGGAACCCCACAAACAAACCATATGAACAATGGGATAAGGTTGAGAACATGATGGGAAATTAACTCCTGAAGCCCCTAATGCTGCATTTTACCAACATTAGTTGATCCATATGCATTTCAGTCTTATTTTACTAGTGCTAAAAAACTAGAAATGTATAAACTGCTAAACCACTTTTGTCTCTGAGAGGATTCTTAAGTCTCTCTTTTGAGACCAGCCTAGTAGTTACCAGGTCTACCTGAGTGAAGAGGAGAGAAAATAAAATCCTGATGATAAAATTCAGTAAAAATAGAGCAGAAGGGGATGAACAATAGCATACACAAATCCTAAAAGGGGATTATCCATAACAGATGATAAAAGTAATTGTGGCAATTGTATATATGGCATTCTGAACAGAGAAGATATGCCATCAGACTGTCAATACCCTGACACATATCTTAAGCAGTTACTGGAAGGTGTAAAAGTATAGTGTTTTACAGGGAGGGTTATTTAATAAAGTGTAGCATAACTATATTTAATGCCCTGAAGGATATCTTTGTGCTGTCTCTTAGCACAGGAAATTACCTAATAAGGATACATATTTTGCACTAGCCTTATTGTAGTCAGGGAATGTTAGATTACCAGCTTTACAAACACTAATGATTGGGAATAATCATAAACCTACCAAGGTTATCCACATAAATAATCAAATTGATTCTCTGTGTAATGAATTAGAACAAGATAAGATACCATAAACCTTGAGGAACAGCAGGAAGTCCAGAAGTTGAATAAGTTTTCTACAAAGGAGAGTATCTCCATAAATGGAAATGCTAGGAATTAAACAGAATGATTGTTTACAGTATTATATCTGTATAGGAACAGTACTAATAACAACAAGTAAAATTCTGATGATATTTAACTGGGGTTTTGTACCATGTTTGTTGTGAGAATTTTCTCACTCTTAAAAGAATGCCTATTAAAGGAAATACTTTTGGCTTGCAATGCTTTATGTGATGATTTACACACAAAATAACAGATGAAATTACCAAATTATTGTATAGTAGAGAATGACATTTTAGGTAAAGCTTTATTATATCCTTGATTTACAGAATCTGAAAGAATAATTTCAATATTGTCTATCAAAATGCTCATGAAAAGATAGCCAAGGGCAATTACCAAACTTTTTAAATATGTATTTATTACCCTGTCTCAAAGTATTTTTATCACATTTTTTTCTCTCTTAATAACTTGAAATTCCAGGGTCTCTTTTAATAATCTATAGTATTGACCCAATGCCTAGCAGTTACCAAAACAATGTAGCTCCTATCCTGAGATGCTGTTTTATCTTAAAAATAAAATTGAAAAACAAAGGATGGAAAAAAAATCAAACATGTAACTGAATGAAGTGTTTATGCAAATGTTTTCATCACTTACTGCAATGAGATGTTTCCAGATTTGTTTGTTGTAATTTTAAGTAGTGCCTTTATTCTAAAACATTTTGGTATGGCTTCAGTGGGGAGCAAATTAAAAAGGCAGATATTGATTTAAGGAATTACAGCACATGGAATAAAGTTGCATGGAAAACAGTTAAGTTGTATGGAAAACAGGATTCAGGCAATAAGAAGGTTTGGCAGAAAGCACAAAGATATTTACAAGTGATGAATGATGGCAGAGCAGTAGAGCAAGAAATAAATGACATGCAGTCATGAAAAGAACTGTGTAGAGCCTTGAAGATCCCCATTAGTCTAAACTTGCTGCCAAAGCAGAATAGAAGCAGTTGGAAGGGAAGGTGGCAGAAAATAAATTTAACAATAGCATTGTGAATAAGGAGGCAAAAATAATTCTACCCAAGATAACATGAATTTCTAAGCAATACTCTGTATGAGGTTGCTGCTGCTCACAGGCCCTTAAGGTCGGCTAGGGATGCTTCTCCATGATGTGAATTTTGGCGACTGGAGAAAAAAAAATGTGCTAGGATGAAAGATTAAAGTTCTGACGACATTTAACATTCATTTTAATCTGAGATATTTTCCCCCTAAACATCGCCTCACTGTGTGCCTGAGGTGCCTTTAAACACTGTTTTCCCCCTACTTCTACCCATTTATTCTTCAAACTTTTTGTAACCACAAGTTACCAAAGCAAAAGGTTATAACTCGCAGCCACATCACAAAGAGGTCCCTTTACCTCAAACCTTCTTTGGTGCTCACAAGGTAATTTTTCTCCCTGTTGAAACCACATATAACATCACTCATCCTGAAGCCTCTTAATCAGAAACAGGTGCTTACACAGATTATCTACTCAGTTTGCTTGCAGGAGGAAGACCTAAGACCTCTAAACAAAGAGATCTCCTTATATCTTGCACATCCTTTCCAGGACTGTTAGCTATTTAACTTGTTTTATCCAGAGATGTCATGGCTTAGGAACTTATACATCATTTCTTAACTTTAATATCCACCATGTCATGTGATACCCTCGTCTCTTAAGAGTTGATGTGGTACCTATGGAGTGTGGGGCAGAGTTTTCCATATTTCACTCTTTCTTATGTACACCCTGTCTGCATTGGAAGATATGAGTTGAAATATCCTTGCTGCATGTTTACATCATAAGGGACTAGGAGCTAGAAAGGAACTGCTGCAAGCTCCTAGCTGATAAGAATTTTTTTGTGACTTGTTCCCACATGGATCTTTACTTCACATGGATCTGTAACAGTCTGAATGTAGTCTCCACTTCCATATGTACTCCCATTTTCCATGTGATAGGTTATCCCTCAGGTGTCCCTTTGTGAGAGCTAGAGGCTCATGACTGTGACCACACTTGAATGAAGACTTTTCTTGGCTGTATGGGATTCCCTCCTAGGGTTGATGCAGTTTGTAGGTGCAAAAAAAGTGCTTTTGATGGTTTGCCTTGTTTGGATTACCAAATTTTATGTAACTGCATCTATACAAGAATGTTAGACAGTGGGAAACATCATTAAAATGTCATTAAAGTATCACAATCCTAAATGATTTTACTATATTGGCAAAGATTTGAAGTACAGACCGCACTAAATCTGTATCAGGATGAAGATACTTGTTTTCTTGTAAAGGACGAGGAATAACTTGGTTCAGTACTAATCCAGAAAGCATCGTTATTTTTTTTATGAACAATATTATGATAACCAATCTCTTACAGTAGTGAAAAACTGCATTTATCATTTTATTGGTAAGTTTTAAACTGTCCATGGAGCAGATTTAAGCAAAGAAGAAAATCTCCCTATGAGCAATTCATATGGTTCAGGGTCTGCTTGTATCACACCTATATTTGATTGTTGACTGTATTTGGAAAGACTTGTTTTGGCTTTAAGGCATGTTCAAATAGCTGTATGATGTGGTGTCAGTTTTTAATTGTCTTCTGTATTCTGCAGGCAACAGAATTTCAGAACCAGTTTATACATTCTTGCTTATTTATAGTCATTCAATCTCTGAAAATGTTTATATTTATTCCATTCTAAGCAATTGATGTAGAAGCACACTATTTTGCCATCTACTCATGAAATCTAAATCCCAGCATCACTATTGTTGCTAGAGTGCAAGCAGTAGCATTTAGCATCCTTTCATATAGTTTCACTTTGGCCCTACAATCAATCTCTCATTTCCTTTTAAATTAATCTGTCAGTTTACTTGAGGATTTTCCTCCAAGTCCTCCAAGATATTTTAATAGTCAAAATTAAACTATAATGATAAGGTGCATTTGAGATGATTTGCTATGAAGTCACATAGTAAATCATTTTCTGTCCTGTTTGGAGCTATGATAGTGGTAGTAACTTCAGATGTGTTTTAGATAGAACATGAAATACGAACACCAGATTCAGTACGTCAATCTATCTTAAGCTATGTCTACAGTAACAAACAATACAGACCAGTTAGAGTGTATGAGTAAATAGGAACTTGCTGATGCTGCAGGCTCAGCAACTATCCTGTATT